GCCACCGCCCCCGCCAGGGCCTCCCTGGGCAGAGGGCAGGCCTCCGAGGACTGTGCCCAGCTGCCACGGTGGGCAGCCATGTCCCCAGCTGCACCTGGGTCAGTGCCCAGGTTATAATTTAATCCAACCTGTGGTCACTACACTCCGCCGGGGTACCACCTCCCGCTGGGACAGGCAGATGGGAAGCACCGAGAGATACCAGCCTGTGCCTGACCCTGTCTCCACTCATCGCCACACCCTGCACGGGCCAGACCCAGGAGCCGGGGAATCTGCACAGCCTGGACCCAGACGACAGGCAGATTGAAAGGTGCAAAAATGGCCCAGGAAAGGGCATCCAGCTGGTGGGTGACAGAAGGACCCGTGAGCACTTTCTAGACAGACGGGGAGAACCTGAGAGACTGAAAGCAAGGAGTGAGGAGCACGCAGGCCCTGTGGGTGCTCCACGCCACCTCCTGGGAAAGTGTGCTGATGCCCAAAGGTGCCAAGGAGGCGGGGCTGGGCTAATGAGCTGCACACACCGTTAGGAACTAAACCTCGACTGCGGGAGTCTGCACTCTATGCGAAGATTGAGGGGAACTGAGTCAGAGATTTCATTAGAGGCACTAGGGGTCCTGAGGGTCACTCTGCTGACAGGACAGGGACCAGCGTGGAGAATCAGAAGCTCCAAGGAGTCCAATGGCAAGTAGAACCATGCAGATGTGACAAAAGTGTCGAAGCTCCTATCAAAGCCTGCCCACCCCACTCAGCAGGAGGCGACTCACAAAGTCAGGGCTGTAGCAGACCCTTGCCAGCTGATTGGCCGTGTCCATCACCTCGTTCTCCAACATGTCCACACGGATCTTCTCCTCTTCCGTCTCCCCGCCTGTTGACACAACAGGGACTCCGCCTCAGCCTCCCACCCCACCAGCCCAGGGCCACGGCCGCCCGTCCCCCTCACTCACCCCAGCCCCACTCACAGAGGTTGTGCTTGCGGGCAAGGTAGCGAAGGATGGCGTTGCTCTGGGTGAGCCTGTGAGCCCCGTCAATCAGGTAGGGCAGCTGCGGGGGGACAGGCAGGTCAGAAGGCCATGGGCCACCCTGAAGCCCCTCCCTGCATCGGGGGCAGAGATGAAACCTGGGCCCAGGGTCTGGCCCACTGAGCAGATGTACTGTCACATGAGGGAATGAGCTGCACACAGAGCCTCGTGGGGAAGCAGGAATAAGAAGCAGCGAGCTGGGGGGCTGAGCAGAGGCCCTGAGTCCCAAAGCCTCTGTCTAAGCCGAGAAAGGAGGTTCAGAGTAGAGGCAGGTTCCCTACGCCCACCCCCACTCCCTGCACCTACATTGGGGAAGTCCAGGCCCAGCTTGAACTTTTCATTCAGCCACTGGCTTCTGTCATAGTTGGGAGCTGTGGTGGAGAAGATGGAGTGAAGGGACCACCCCCAGCCCAGCCCCCTCTCCCCGGGACCCTGAGCAGGGGAGTCTGGAAGCTGAGCACGGAGTCTCTCTCCCGGGTTTGGGGGAAAGAACGCTGAGAAGTCCCAGGCACCCCATGGACCAGGCTTCCATGAGTGCGGCAAACCCAGGGGGCCATCGCGGTTACAGACACAGGGGCCCAGCCGCCCCCTCCTGCCCTGCCTGAGGCCAAGGTCCACCCTCAGAGGGTGAAGGAAGGGCAGGGCCTGCTCCGGCCAGTGGAGGGCGGCAGAGGGAAGCCACAGGTGGCCGGCACGGGTTCTCGGGACCGAATCAGCAGGAGTTGGGCCCAAGTCGGAACGCGACGGGGATGCCATGACCGCCCCCCATCGTGTACTTCTTCTCCTCGTAGTCGGAGTCTGTGTACTCCAGGAGCAGGTGAAGGGACCACCCCCAGCCCAGCCCCCTCTCCTCGGGACCCACCAGGGAGTCAGGGGCCGGACCCCTGGGCAGGGGAGTCTGGAAGCTGAGCACGGAGTCTCTCTCCCGGGTTTGGGGGATTTAAAATAATAATAATAGGAAGTGATAGGAAAAAATAGCAAATAAAGTTTCAAAACGTAGAATAGAGAACTGAAATGCGTACAGATGTCACAATATATATTTAGAGACTGTCTAGGAGACCCCTAGAACTCCTGCCCTGCCTGAGGCCAAGGTCCACCCTCAGAGGGTAGAGGAAGGGCAGGGCCTGCTCCGGCCAGTGGAGGGCGGCAGAGGGAAGCCACAGGTGGCCGGCACGGGTTCTCGGGACCGAATCAGCAGGAGTTGGGCCGAAGTCGGAACGCGACGGGGATGCCATTACCGTCCCCCATCAACGTGTACTTCTTCTCCTCGTATTTGGAGTCTGTGTACTCCAGGAGCAGGCGGATGGCGTGAGCCAGCTGGACGGACGGAGGAACGGAGGTCAGGGACCCAGGGCCCCACTCGGGGCTCGCTCTGCCCCAACTCCAACCCTCAGCAGGAGTTGGGCCCAAGTCGGAACGCGACGGGGATGCCATTACCGTCCCCCATCGTGTACTTCTTCTCCTCGTAGTTGGAGTCTGTGTACTCCAGGAGCAGGCGGATGGCGTGCGCCAGCTGGACGGACGGAGGAACGGAGGTCAGGTACCCAGGGCCCGACTCGGGGCTCGCTCTGCTCCAACTCCAACCCCATCCTCTCCCCCCAACACACAGACATCCCGGCGCCCGCGCAGGCGCCCTAGCCCTGGCCCTGACCCGCCAGAGAACAGGTGGTGACGGGGGAGGGGGCTGGGCTCCAGGCAGCCCTGGGGAACCTTCAGGTGGAACCGACTCCTGCCGCTCAGCACCTCCCCGCCCGCCCGCCGGCCGCCGGCTCCACCCCACCCGCCGGGGGCCCCTCGCTCACCCCTCGGATGTCCCAGTAACCCAGAGTCATGGCCATGGTCAGCGTTCCCTGCCTGCAGGACGCTCAAGCAGAGCGGGGCTGCAAGTTCGTCTAGGGCCCGGGTCGGGGGTGGGGCCTGATGGAGGCTCCGCCCCTTCGCCCTCGGCGCCCCGCCCCCGCCCCACCAATTACCCAATCCCCGCGGTCTCCTGATGACGCGACGCCGGGAGGCTGAAGCGCGGCGAGCGACGGGCACAGCGCATTTCCGACACGAGGCGCGGGGATTGTGGTGCCGAGGTTTGGGCGCCAGGACGCCGAACGCCGGGCTATGCTCGCCTGGCTCCCCGTCCGCGTTCAGACCTCGGCCGGTCAGAGGGAGTGGACAGTGCGCTCGGGAAACAAATCTGAGGCTCAAAAAAAAAAAAAGAGGCTCCTCTCCCATCCCTTCCCCTCCAGGCATCGCTCAGCCACCGCCCTGGGCTGCAGAGTCCCCAGGCTCAGGGAGGCTCAGACTGCAATTACACCCAGAGTGGCGCCCCTCAAATCGAGTTTCAATGGGCACCTGACGCTGCTAGACCAGCCTATCTGAAAGCTCCTCCAAGACTTTAGAATCCTGACTCCATGTTGGCCATGCACACACACAAGTGCCGGCCTTCTAAATAGCCCTCTAACATTTATCATAATACATTAGGATTTGCCACTCTGAGTTTTACACACATCTTGAGCTTGGAACAGAAACATTCCTGGAGTCCACTGAGAAAACTTATTTTTTTAAAGCTAACAATATTTGTGGTATAGGCATGGGATACCATTTCATAGGCATGAAATAAGACAGTTCAAGTATTGGAACATGGAACAGACTGGCAGAGGTCAGAGGGGAGAGAGGAGGAGGGGACTGCATGAAAGGTGAGCATGGATGCCTGGAGAGGGTACCCCATCAGCCCAGCCAGCAGCTGAGGCAGAAGTCTAAGGTCTCAGTACCGCCACCCTATGGACAAGTTGGGAACTGCAAAAGGCTACCAGTCAAGGGGCCAGCGGAAGCTGAAATGCAGCCTGCACCCAGGAACTTGATCGAGCACAGCTGCAGCCACATGGGGGGAGGGACCCACTTTTCTCTCCCCAACGATGCCATCGGTTCTGTGAGTTAACAGGGCTGTGTCTGCTCAGAGGGCCCACCTTTTCCTAACTCACACAAAGGCGGGGGTTCTGTGAGTTAACAGGGCTGTGTCTGCTCAGAGGGCCCACCTTTTCCTAACTCACACAAAGGCGGGGGTTCTGTGAGTTAACAGGGCTGTGTCTGCTCAGAGGGCCCACCTTTTCCTAACTCACACAAAGGCGGGGGTTCTGTGAGTTAACAGGGCTGTGTCTGCTCAGAGGGCCCACCTTTTCCTAACTCACACAAAGGCGGGGGTTCTGTGAGTTAACAGGGCTGTGTCTGCTCAGAGGGCCCACCTTTTCCTAACTCACACAAAGGCGGGGGTTCTGTGAGTTAACAGGGCTGTGTCTGCTCAGAGGGCCCACCTTTTCCTAACTCACACAAAGGCGGGGGTTCTGTGAGTTAACAGGGCTGTGTCTGCTCAGAGGGCCCACCTTTTCCTAACTCACACAAAGGCGGGGGTTCTGTGAGTTAACAGGGCTGTGTCTGCTCAGAGGGCCCACCTTTTCCTAACTCACACAAAGGCGGGGGTTCTGTGAGTTAACAGGGCTGTGTCTGCTCAGAGGGCCCACCTTTTCCTAACTCACACAAAGGCGGGGGTTCTGTGAGTTAACAGGGCTGTGTCTGCTCAGAGGGCCCACCTTTTCCTAACTCACACAAAGGCGGGGGTTCTGTGAGTTAACAGGGCTGTGTCTGCTCAGAGGGCCCACCTTTTCCTAACTCACACAAAGGCGGGGGTTCTGTGAGTTAACAGGGCTGTGTCTGCTCAGAGGGCCCACCTTTTCCTAACTCACACAAAGGCGGGGGTTCTGTGAGTTAACAGGGCTGTGTCTGCTCAGAGGGCCCACCTTTTCCTAACTCACACAAAGGCGGGGGTTCTGTGAGTTAACAGGGCTGTGTCTGCTCAGAGGGCCCACCTTTTCCTAACTCACACAAAGGCGGGGGTTCTGTGAGTTAACAGGGCTGTGTCTGCTCAGAGGGCCCACCTTTTCCTAACTCACACAAAGGCGGCACACCGATGAGCATCAGTCTTGGGTTTATACATGACCCAGGTGCCCACGCAGCCCGGCCAGGTACCTGTGCACAAAGACAGAATGTGGCAGGGCGGGAAGGAGAGAGCCACGCATCTGGATGCTCCACAGCAGGGGCTCCAGCACCCAAGACACACAGGATACCTAGGCATGAACACTTACACCACCCCCAACAGCACTGAGGCGCTCGGGCAGCTCTGTGGGCACGGAGCCTTGTTCAGCTACCGGACAGGCCAGGGACGGAGCAGGGGTGACTGTGGCTTGATCTGATGTATATGGGCCTGTAGGATGCCGCCAAGACCTCCCAGCTGGGAGAACCAGTACATCGGTGATAACGCAGCTGCACGCGCACCCTTAGGCTGCAGGTGCCCAGGGCCCCAGGGCCAGGCCGTCACCTACATTAGGCAGGTGTGCACTGACAACAGCCTCCCGGTGATTAGGGACCGAACACCAGCCCGAACTCTGCTTGCCAAGCTGTGCTCCCCAGCCCTAGGGTGGTTGGGGCAAAGGCACAAGATTAGGGTTAGGAATAGGGACAGAGGCAGGTTTAGGGCTAGGGGTAGGGTTAGGGCACTTGTTCCAACTCCCAGCTCCGAAGCCACTGCTGGGGGCCTTTGGGAAAATCCTGTGCTTGGAGTTTTGATTCCCTGATGTAGGCTTGAAAGTAGCATCTCTTGTGAGTGGGTCTGAGGGGGTCAGTTTCACTGCCGGGTCATCGCTGGCTGCGCTGACAGATGGAGGCTGTGGCCTGCAGGGCCGCCTCCTCCCCCAGCAGCCAGTGAGCACTGTCTCCATCTGCAGCTTGACCTCTGCTAATCCGTTTACCCACTGAGGCCCAGGGAGAACCGCAAAGGAGCTTCCCCTCCTCTCCTCTCCCCCACCTCTGCCCTGCACAGGCCTCTGTCCCCAAATCCTCCGACTCTGGGCTGTGAGCAGAGCAGCAGCGGGCACTGGGCCCCCTGAGGGTGGGGGAGGGGGGAGATGGAGACAGCAAGGAAACAGGACCAGTGGGAGTGGGGTCGACCCACGCGGAGGCAAGAGGTTTTCCGGAAACAGGAGCAGCTGACGGGCCTCTGAAATATCAGAGAACACAGAGAACTGGCCTTGGAAGGAGGGACCAGTGGGGACGGAGGGCGGGCGGGGGCGGGGGAGCCGTCTGGTAAGGACAAAGAGGCCAGGAGAGTGCACATGACTTTATTAGACGGTTCTTCAGCTCACCCCTCACCAGTGGGTGGTGCTATACACGGGGTGGCCCTGCTCTCCCAGCAGAAGAGAACATGCAGGCTATTGGTCCTGCAGGCCCCCCCGGGACTGACACGGCAGCCTGTTGGCAGATTTCGGCTTCTCTTCCCTTTGAGGAGACCAAAAGGCCTGTCATCTCAGCGGTGGCGCCCACTGCACCTCGGATGATGTGGGATTCGGATCTCCCAGACAGCGCGGTCTTTCAAGATTCTGGGGTTTGCCGGTCCTCCAGAGCCGCATGCCTGTGCGTCCACTTGGAATCTGGAGTCCAGTGGACTTAGATTTGAACCCTAGCTCTGCATACAAGGCTGGAAATGGGCTGCACTCTCTCTCCTTTGCACAGCACCCCAAACCTGGGAAGTCGGAGATGGGGGAGGGGGGGGCTTGCCCTGGGAAACACTCAGGTTTCAAATCCAGGTCAGCTCCTCCTGTAACTGGAGCCAGAACCTCCAGCCACACGAGGGTTGCACAGACCCCTGCCTAGGCGCTCTGAACCTGCCCAAGGTTAGGGAGGCAGCGGGAGAAAGGGGCCCAGTTAGACCACAGGCGGAGCTGACAGTGGGACCATTTTCAGCCCTCCACAGACCCCGCCCCTGATGCCCCACGGCCCCACCCTCCTTGGAACAGAAGTTAAAATGCACCCACATTCCCTCATTAAATAGAACTCTTCTTGGCTTTCAACGTACAAGGGCTTTTATGAATTTGCTTTTGAAATTACTTGACGATGAGTAACTCATTTAGTTTACCATCGGCTAGGATTTATTTTTCTTTTTTGGCCTTATGATTTCTCTTCAATCATCCTGCAGAGTCTGGAACTCGTGCCAAAAACCCAATTTACAAATTGTTTTCAAATATAATGACATTTCTGTGGATACATTAAAGTTGACGTGCAGTTCAGCGTTCGGAAGGCATTTAAACACTTATCAGTTGTGACACTGTCCTTTTCATATTTAGCAGCCCCGGAAGTTTTTCTTTCAGGTCTTCACCATTTCCCAGGCCTTTGACGTAGGCCCTGCCCCCTGGAGAGAAGCCAGGGCACTTGGATCCTCCCCTGCCCCCTGCAGGAACAGAGAGGGAAAGTAACCTGCCCAAGGGCACACAGCCAGAAAGCAGTGTGTGGCTCCGGAGCGAAGTCACTCACAGCATTGGGCCATAGTTGTTCTCAACCAAAAAGAGCTATGATGGCAAGGGATGGTGAGGCTCACCATAGGCCAGTGAACAGGAATTAAGATTTATATAAATTCTTCAATGAAATATGGAAAGATCTGTTAAAGTATTTGAAAACCACAAAATTATACATATATCTCGACTCAAAAATACCTTCTTTAAAAATAACTGAAAGATATGTATAAATATGTTTTAAAACGTAGATTGCAGGCATGCAGATGATCAGCAAGTATCTGCTGCTATTAAGTCAACCAGCGGGCTTTTTGCTATTGTTCCAATTTTTGTATATTTTCCAAATTTCCTTTCCAGGTAGGAAAAAGTATTAAGGCCTGTTTTAAAAGTATTTTCTCTCAATAAATGTTTGAAAGAGATTTCAGAGAACCAAAAAAATCCAGAAGCAAGTTGTTTAAAAAAAAAAAGTAGTGGGTAGCTTGCAAAGAAACGCTTGGAATTGGTCGTGTTCTCAGGGCTGGGTCTCCGCACACACGAGAAGACTGTACAGAGGACGAGAAAATAGCATGACAGCTTCTACCACACGACAAACCCAGTGAGTAAACATGGAGTCCTTGCTGTCCTGATGCTGGCACACGAAGCAGGCAGCATCGTGTGATGCTTCCAAGGAACCTTCTAGAAAGACCCTCCAATCCTGCTCCCTTGTTTTGCAAAAAGACCGAGCACGTTTTTATTATTAAATGGATGGAACGCCTTGGAAAGGAGCTCCCCTCACCCTGGAACAGCAGCGTCCTTCAGGCAGAGGGGACCCGGCGTGGGGTGGAGGGGCCTGGGGGCTGAGCTCCCCTGGCTTCAGTCCTGGCTCTGCCACAGGCCACTTGCACCTGCTGTTTCCCCAACAGAAATGAGCCAGAGCTGTCCAGCCTCAGCCAGCCCTGCCGCGGCGACAGGAGACCGACAAGAGCCTTCTGGAGACTGGAGGACCTGGGTCTTGGCCAGGAGCAGGCCTGGCCCTCCAGGGGCCCTCCGGAGGCAAGGGCACGAGGAGAGCTTCTGCCCGGGGACACTGGGTGAGTGTCATGCCAGGCGGTGGCTGGCACAGATGCCGCAGGCTGGGCCAAGCAAGCTGACAGGAGGGGAGGAGGAAGCCAGCTTTCACCAGGCCTTCAATTACTCGGATCGCGCTGTTCTCGGGCTAATTGCTTCCGAAACAGCCGGCCCGTCATCGCCCCACCAGCAGCAGGGACAGGCTTCTCGGCGCCACCCGGGACCCTGCCCGGCACAGGGCACTCACTTCCCTCCCTGCAGGGGCTCCAGATGTTGTTAAACACGGGACAGAAGCCGAGCTGGTTCAACTTCCACGCCGCACCTTTCACTCGCTTGAATGGGGATCGGAGGGTGGGGCCTGGAAGTGGCATTTTAAACAGGCTCCCCGAACGTGCAGGCATCAGAGTGTGAGGCCCACGGCCCAGGTCTGCTTGCCAGTGCACAGGCCCACGTCTCCCAGGCGGGGCCATGGGGCTGCAGCAGATGGGCGGTGTCCCTGTCAGAGGGGCCAGGCTGGACGAGGCCTGTGATGGCAGGCGGGTCCCCCCATGGGCCTCTTCTCCCTCCCACAGCTTCCTTGTGCACAAGCACACACATCGGCCAGGCCCCGTCACTCCCCGAAGTACCCCGTCCTTCCCTCCACAGCGCTCCTGGCTTGACCTCAGCCACGGACCCGGCTGCCCCTCTCCCCACAGAGACCCCACCTGCCTCTTTACTTAAATACTCTTTATTTCTCATGCACTAGGAGGGACGGGATTGTACGAAACACTGCATTTCACAGCGAAGGCCTCGGTCCACACAACAGCACAGGGGACCAGCCAGGACTCGGGTCTGGTCAGAACTCTAGGGACCACATTGGAGAGGCCACCCCCAGGGCTGGTAGCAGATCCAGGAGCCTCCAGCGGCACTGGCCCCAGACATGGCCCAGGAAGCGGACGGCAGGGCACATGGCCCGGGGGAAGGACGGAGAAGGCTGCCGGGCACCGACTGGGCAGAGGCGGTGGTCCCATGCCGCCAGGCCCAAGCCCAGGATGCCAGGGCTCCGCCTGCTCTCCGCCCAGAGCTAACTAACCCTCCCGGAGCCCCCCAGGCCTGGCAGCCCCGTGCCCACAGCAGATGTGCACAGGCCCCACCTTGGACTTCAGCCACGTAAACAAGACGGGGGCTCAACTCCACCCCCAGCCAAAGCTCAGGCTTGCCCAGGCAGGACTCCAAAGGCCGGAGGGGCCAGCCCCCCACAACCAGCCCTAGCCAGGCTTCGGAGGATCTGGGGACAGGGCCTCCAACAGGGCGGCCCTCAAACTTGGGCCATGGGGTGCCACTTGAGCCAAGAAAGGGCGGAGCGCATCCTGGGCCCCGCTTCCGGGGGAGGCACGGAGACAGGACGGAGACATGCAGGGCAACAGAGGAGAACGAACACATGCAGAGGCCACGACAGGTGGGGGGGTCCGAGGACAGAACGTGGTCAAGGCGCTGGGATGCAGGCGCCGTGGCCGGGCTCACTGAGGCCCTGGGCTCATGGTGAGGCCCGGCTCCTCCGGGATGGTCTCCAGCGTCTCACTCTGCACGGCCTGCGTGATGAGCGCCAGCTCCTGGCACAGGGTCTCGTGCCGGTAGCCCACGCGGATGTCGGGCACGTTGGTGCGGCGGATGTCGTTGCCCTCGGGGCCCTCTTTGGTGTAGTTGGGTCCCAGCCAGTGGCTCTTCACCTGCAGGGGGAAGGGGGAGTGGCAGCTGCAGCCGGCTCTGGGGGGCCATGCCCCAGGACCCTGGGACTTCCCAGCGGAGGCGGGGAGAGGGGTGTACCTTGTGGGAGAAGCCGCTCATGAGCACGCTGTTGCGGGCCAGCTCACACATGTCGCAGGAGCTGAGCTTCCACACCTGGGTGGCGATGCTGTATTCCTCCATCAGCGGCTCCTGCACAGGCAGGCTCGCTCAGGCTGGTGGCCCCGGGCCCTGCGGCCCCAGCCCTCCCTGGGGACGCGCCCTGGCCTGCTGTGCTCCCCCAGCAGGGGGCAGCACCAGCCCTGTGAGCCCAGAGCTGGGTGTCCCTGCCTGGGGCCCTGGGGTCTGACCTTGGTGAAGTGGAACTGCAGGGGGTCGTCGGTGGACAGAGAGACCATGAGGCCGCGGGACAGGTACTCGGGCAGCGGGTTGCGGTGGTAGCTGAGGAAGAGGCTGTTGTTGCTCAGCGGCGACATGGCGATGCCGATCTGGGCCAGGTAGTACAGGTACTGCAGGACCGGGGCCTGGGCGACAGGAGCGAGGCCGGTCAGGTGCCTCGGGGCTGGGGGGCACCAGGTTCT